CCCCAAAACCCCAAAACCCCAAAACCCCAAAACCCCAAAACCCCTGTTTGAAAATAAGAGATTGAAAGCTGGTGAAAATGGGTTTTATTAGAACTTATGAATCCTTCATGACTCTCTCGATTTTTCTCAATGAGCTTCTAATGCTTAATCAATGATATTAGGACTTCCAGACTTGTACTTTTCATTATACTTAGCTTTAAGTGTTTCTATAGATTTTCCAGGGAAATTATGTGAAATTTTAGTAAAATCGACTGGTAATTTAGCCTTATTTCTGAGAATTAATCAGCTTTCTCAGCAGCTTTGTATCCCTAACAGTGAAGTTGTTGCTGTTCATTCCAATCTTATTTAATTCTCTGTAAAAGTTTGGGCAATTTCTGGATAGGCCAATGAATCTCTGATGCGAGTGTTTCGATGATTTCTCGATGAAGTTCATCTAACAAGGAGCTTGTTCTACAAAGTTGGGAGACTTCAATATTCCTCTGGTCTCATAACTCTATGAGCCTTTGATACATTTCTAAAGAAATCGTCGAGGTGATTATTTGAAAGTTTCAAAATTTATGAATTTTGAATCATATTTAAGCCATCAGTAGTAAAAGAAGTCTAAGTTATTTATAATTTTCTAATTCATGATACAATTCTCTAAGAATTATTTTAGACATCTTATAGCACAAAGGTAAAGCAAAGACTATGTAATAATCTATGACAGTGCTTGAGGTAGGACCCTGAACATTACTAGTAATACCACCCATTGTATTATAAATGTTTTGAATCTGGAAATTAGCTTACCTCTATCATGAATTTTACTAAACCTAATTCTTTTAGCAAATTTTAGCTTTGTTTCGTTTCCTATGGTCCCATCAGAGATTAATCTTGATTTAGGATTGAAATTTTTCAAAGTTTCTCAAAAAAAGTTATCTTCGTTGCTAGGGTTACCTGATTTTATAATTTGTGAGGTTTTTGGGTCACCCAGCCTATCCGAAATTTTTCCTGGTGATTCTTGTGCACTGAAGTAAGCATTTCGCTTGAAATCTTCTTTAACTTCTTCATTATTTGAAGAAGATTTTGCAGTTTCCTTATCTAACATTGGCTGGGTTGTATTACAGTCAGTCTTCTTTCTTTGGTGGTCTCAAATTATTTCTCAGCTTGGAGATTCTGTATGCTTAAAGTTTATAGGAATTCTTTTAGAGTCTGATGTATTTCCATTGAAAATTTCCTCTCAAGCCAAGCTGTTTGATGCGATATATTCGTTAAGAAAGTCAGAATTTCTAAACATTTTGATAAATTTTTATTAATAATTCTTGATAAAAGCTATATTTATATGTATTGGAACATCAATATTCGGTGAAAATCGAGGCTGTTATTATCTGAGATGGACTGAGGAACTTATTGAGGCTTCTCTATATTTCCCTGCTTGTTTTATTGCACTCCGTTATTTATCTAAGCCTAAAGAAGTCACATATGAAATATAAGAACTACATTATATGTAATCTTTCTATATTATTATTCATATGACAAAAGTAAATATGGTAAATTAAGAGAGGAGGAAAATTACTCCAATCTTTATATACCTCCTCTAGTAACACAGATAGATACCATGACCGCTTTCTTAACTTTTTAACTGATTAAGGACAACCTAGGAAGCAAATTACACACTAGGCATCACCAATTTGTACTTAATTAATAAAATTGTTGCTGCCAGTATATTATCAAAGGTGGAATCTTTTCTGGATGTACTACATTTTGCAGAGTTCTTAGCCTAATTATTTCTCTAAGTTTGCTCACTCGTTTAAAATTCCTAAAGTCAGTACTGCTATATTTCCCAGGGGTTAAAAATTAAAAAATTATGCGTTCGAAAAATTCAGGATGCCTATTTTTGGAGTAGCAATCTGCTATATTTCTTCGAAGAAGCTCAGATGATTAATGATCAAACTAGTGCATGAAGTCCAGTGAAAAGACTTGAGAATTCTTAGCCGAAATTGGTCTAGCTATATTGTCACATGTGGCTTGCTTAGGTACAAGATGAAACAATTCTTAGGAAAACTTCCTTATTGGACAGCACAGTTTCCTTTTTATCTCCAAAGAAATGGCTTTGGTACTTATGAGAACAAGCTTTAGGAGTATTGAGTGAAAGCAATTCAGAGCTTGTAATGAGAATCAAGGTTTCTAAGCATGTGTAAGCTAACACCATTATCACTTTTAACTATATTTCACTAAAGTAACCGTAAAGTGGGGTTTTGGGGTTTTGGGGTTTTGGGGTTTTGGGG